AGATTTAATCCAATTAATCCAGCCGTGGAGTGGATCCTTAGAATAAACCAGAGGATGAAATTTGGTACCAGCCAGCCAGTGACATGAGGCTGCAGTGAGAACTTCAAGCTCAGGGGGGCAGGTCTGCTCTCCCAAATCCACCACAAAAAAAAAAGTCTAGCAGAATCACTAAAAGCAATACTGAGTGGTTTAGGGTCTCAGCTGGCAGGAAGCCCAGGCTGACTAAAAAGACAAAAAAAAAACCCAGCCCCCTAAGTAGCAAATATGCTTTCCTGCACAGTCGTTTATTCAGCTTCTGAGATGGATTTAAAATTAGAAGAGATAACATGAGAGCAAGAAACTTAAAACTGAGGCTACTTTTCACTTGGATACTGTGAGTTAAAGGTTTCTATTGCTGCTGGAACTGCAACTGTAGCTGAGACAGGGTCAGAAAACCCTGGAGCTTAAATACAGAAGCTTCAAGGCGAGAAATGTATAAAAATAAATTCCAAAGGGCTTAATAACATTGTACAGAGAGGCTGGATATTCTGGTGTCAGAAGGAAACTGGTGGCTCTTAGATCAAAACCTAATCACCCAAAAGCAATAAGATCCTTTGTTTTAGCCAGCTAGTCATTCTGTCACCCACTGGGGCAATGTTTTTTTTTTTTTTACTACCATCCCAAATTATAGTTAATTTACAGTGTATAAATGTACATGTCACTGAAAATATAACAGTTAAAGCAAAAATACTTTGGAATGAATGCGGTTAAACCTTGAACAGTCTGATCCAAAATCTGCTAGGAACCTTTTGCTTGACTTCAAAGGAATTATTATCAGCATTTAAGTGAACTTGTCCTACAAAAAAAAAAAAAAAAAAAAGCACTGTGCCTCACAGCTTACTGCCAGGACTGTCCTTCATGTGGAATCAAAGACAGTCAGAGCCTGCAGCCAGTCCAGGCTACCTCTGCAGGAAGCAAAGGGAGAGAAACCTTCCTGAGGTCACTGTACAGGACACCCTCTGATTCTCTGCAGCAAGAGCAGAGGAGGGGAGAAACATCTGCTCTTTCTTAGTTTCCCCATCCCAGAAGACTTTATTTATGCATTAGTCGACCTTTCTAGCCATTAGGACCATCTTGCTTCAGCAGTTAATTAACACAAGTGCCATAATTTAATACAGTTAATGCTACTTGATGCCCTTTAATGTACCTTCCATTAGTGATATTATTGTAGTATTACCCTGTAAATTAAAATGAGATCAAGACTAAGAGAGGCTCTCTTTAATTAAGGTATTGGCACACTACATTGGCCATTATTCACTAGAAAAAAATCACCCTGATTTAGTGAAGCAGACCATCAGTAAGTCAGAATTAGTTCATGTGGATTATTAGATTTCTTGAATAATGTGTGCACAATGGGGTTGCTAAAATTGCTAACAACTATGTTTCCTTTCTTTCATCATCTTAATAAACACACAATGGAAGTAGTAAATTGAAGATGAACGAACAGGTGGTAATAGAGGAGGTAAGGCATTCATTGAGGCTGCACAGGTTTTAATTTCTAATGCAGCATACATCAGGCTTATTTCATACCAAAATGAAAACCAATGACAAAGCAAACCCAATATTAAGTGGACAAATCTCAAACATCTAATTCGTTGTGAAGTATTAACCACCGCAGCATCTTGTATATTAAGTATGGCAGCTTTAAGAGAGATGCTTTTCACTGTCATTGAGCCTTAAAATACAATGTGAAGCAAATTACATTTTATGGTGCCTTTAGAAATATGCTATTATGAGCTTTGGTGATTTTAAATATGTTTAACCTACAGGTGATTCCTTTTTTAGTAAAAGGGCTAGCTTTAACATGTGTCTCCTAGTGTCTCTCACCCACCACATGTCAAGCTCCTTGGTAACGTCTCTTTGTATCCTGTCCTCATGGAATATTCACTCTAGCTTTACTAAATGTATTTAAATATCTAGGTCTCAAAGCCCAGAATATGAAACACTGTAGCAGAAAATCAACCTTTGTCAGTTAATTTCCAGTTAACTTCCTAAATTAACGTGCAACAGCTGGAAAGCTCCACTGAACCAGAAAGAGCAGCACAACCCCCCCTAGTAACCCTTGCTCGCCTCCATCATGTTCCTGTGCTCAGGGCATGCCAGGGCACATGACTGTAATGCTGATTTGGAGACTCTTTGTGGGGGCTGTATAAGGTTTCTGGTGGAAACCTAAAAGCAGGTGACACTGGGCATATGGCAAGTTACCTTTGCTGGGATGAAATGATCAGGGGCTGTGCACTGCAGCCCCACAGATACCCAGCAGCAAGCAAGCCTGTAAACTCTTTACTAGGAGGACTCACTACATATTGAAGGAAAGGCCACAAAATCCCCAAAGAGGTGTTGTTCTCATTAGCAGAAGAGTGATAAGAATTCACATGAATCTTATCTAAGGAGATGCTGTTACATATCAGATATTTCTTTTAAAGCATGTGTCCAATTACTGCAGCATTTAGACAACAAGCATCAACATCAGATAAATTCTCCATACGGTCATGCTTCGTTTCTATAGATAATTTTTCACAAGATTGCCATGCCCCAGATGTGCTTGGAAGGTTTCTGTTTCTAATTTGCATGCAATGCACTCATTTTAATCCTTCAGATGCTTTCTTTGATAAAGTACTGATCGTTTAATTGAAGTCAGACTAAGCTACAAACGGATGTTCAGATGAGGAGCAGCTTTTCCTTAAAGCATAACGACCTTCAAATCCTGAGCTTTGATATGATGCTTCTGTAGAGATAACTTATTTGGAGCCCGATGGAGAATGGATAGAATTTTGAATATACTGAGGCTAATTTTACCCAACTATTTCAATCAGTATCTTAAGTTGTCCATGATTCACTTAGCCCTCCCAAAAGGCTTCTGAAAAATAATTCACAAGGTAACTAAATGAGACAACAAGAATTCTTCATTCAGCAACCTTTATCTTACACTTTAACACATTCAATTAATGATTCTGTATGCATGCATACATATTTGGTGTGAACACAGGGGATTGTAACTACATGTTAAATCTATGGTCCTAAGAAATGTATTTTGATGTCATAGAAAAATATATTGGTACTGCAAAAGTGTTTACATATTCAAATCTGTATGTGTCATCAATTCTTCCTTTAAATAAAGTTAGACAAATATTTTTCAATAGATTACACCACAGTAATATGATTCTATTTTGATTCTATGTATTGATTTTTTTCAATACGGAAATGCTTATGAAAGGCTTGTATAAAATGGTAGAAAATGGCCAGCTGACTACAGGAGTAATAAAAATATAATCACCAGTATTCAATCACTATCCCTATGGCTGTTTTTTTGGTCTGAAAAAAAACACCCTGGCTTTCTAAGATATATTAGCTTTTCTGTTTTGATGACTGATATTTTAATAATTTGATAATTTTGATAATTTTGCTTGTCTTAAAAAAAAAAGTTTTTTTTTTTAAAAAGATTTGAACTCTCTGTAGAAGAAGCAGAGGAGAAGGAAAAGGTACTTTAGAGAGGTGAGTAAATTGCTAATAAAGAAGGACCCATATATTTCTTCCAAAGCAATTGGCATCCAAGACACATGTAAAGGGTATTACCCTCCTGCTTGAGGTCATCAGTCAATTGCTAGTTTGAGTTGGGAAGAAAATTTCCCAATAGGAATGCCATTGCACAGTTATTATTTTTGAGACTACAGCACCTGATACCAGCCACTGCTTGCCCTAGAGGGACTATTTGTCTTGAATGCAGCTGAGTAATCATCTTTGTTATATTCAAATCAATCTCTCTAAAACACTGTTTTTTTTTGTTTTTTTTTTTTTTTTCAATTTTACTTCAGCTTCACTGCATTTCAGAGCTAATTAAAGTACAAGAAACGGACTCCAGTCTCTGCCACCTTCCTTGTCCACAGGCAGTTCACAGCTGGACCTGGTGGGAAGGGTCCGTGCAAGGTCTGCTGTATCAATCACAGCTTACATTAAAGACCTGAAACTCACAAATGATGAAACAGAATCTCTCTTTTTAGATAACTGCTATCAGATCAGGCTCCAACTATATAAAAGCACAAAGTGTCCTAATGCCAAGGTGAATTCCTGAGCCAATGTGAGAAACTGTAGGGTCCAGTAGTTCATCCTCTGCCAAATCCCATTCTGAAGTCCCAAAAACTTGACACTTTACTTGTCTGCTGTCTTGTTTTTTTATACTGCAAATAAGCTATTTAATGAAACTAATAAGTTCATCAGAGATTTCGAAGATGCTTCCTTATGCGTGCCAAGTAACTTTACTGATTGGTACTTGCATGCTGTCTTAAAATATTCCCAATCTCATACTTATTTCAAGATTGGTAAGGTAACCATGAAATCAAGCAAGTTATAAATAATTTTGGTAGAAGTGTCATACCTTAGCATTTTCTTCTGTAAGAATACTTCTGCTTTGTCTTTCATCAGTCATTTTGGGAAAGTGTGAAAAAAGTGTTCACAAGCTAGGAATTTTTGACTCAAAACTTTGTCAAGGTGAAGTATGTTGTTTAGGAATTCTGGGTCCCAGCCAGTTACACTTTGACCAGCCTGTGCATCAGGCCTGTGTGCTTCCTGAGAAGAGGGAGTAGCTGAGGACTGAAGGGAAATAAATACCACTTCCATACTAACTCCATCTAGAGAACTTCACTGTTTCAGAGACTATTGTTTAACAGCAGGTTATCCCAATAATGCTTTGATTTTTTAAGTGAGATGGTTAAAACATCCTGGGGTAGTATTAACTACCCTGCTTATGAAACCTAGGGCTCAAGATCCCAGGTTAGTGACAGCAAACACCCAGGGCTTTGTGGGAAACTTCTAGTATGACTAGAAATAGGCTTCAGCTGAGCCAGATGTCCAATGAACATGTCTTGGCAGAAAATGTCATCATGTTTGAGGAAAACAGTGATTTTGAATAATCTCTAAAACAAAACGTGTATGCCCGTTTCTAAAGACATATATTTTCTTACCTTCCGTATACTCTTATGTCTGAAATTGCATAAAAGTAGCGTGCCAGGTGTTGCTCATCCACATATATCTCTCCAGTTGCTGGTCTAAGCAGTCTTATCCTCAGATCCGTGATGGTAAAGAAATCTCTTAACTTCTTGGTTGTGTCAAGCTGGCCATAAAGAGAAGCCATGTTATGAAGCCGAGGTCCAGCAAAAAAAGCAAACCTATCTTTGATTTCAAAGTGGATTATTTTACTATTTGTCATGTACCCAGTAGAGTATTCCTCTGTGCAAATGATTTCTAGGACTGTGTGCTGTGATAAATCCCTCACTGATTTTGGATCCATATGGAAAGCATCTAAGCAGTCCGTAGCATAGTATTGGTAGGGCTGCCATGTTCGTCCATAGTCAAGTGATTTCTCCAGGATCATTTGGTCTGGACGGCCAGATTCAAAAGTGATAACTATGTTATCTGTAAGCTCAATGGTTTTGTTCCAGGAGAGTGTAATATTAACATGTAGAGGCTTTGGATAATCCTTCCAAGTTGTGGACTGCCAAAATGTGGATGGATGTCTTCCTTCGAGATCAAACATCAGTTCTGGAGGATGAGCCAGTTCTTGGGTACTCGCATCACATTCATTATTGCACATGTAGGGATTCCCCTGGAAAAGAGCAAAGCAGTACTGTAAGAGGCATGGTACAGGTGTCTGTGACACATACAGATGTTTCTTGTCTGGCACATGAGAACTGCTGCTTTTTCTCCAGGCCTGGAACTAAGAAAGAAAAAACCAAATGCTTGCAAGGAATACCTTTATCTTAGTGACATTTATCCTGGCTGGTTTACCTGTTAAAGTAAATGTTCAAACACACACATATACAGCACCCTTTCCTCTGTAATAAAAACAATGTTTTTCAGTATGTTTTAGAGAAAGAAAAGAGCTGTTTGGTTTTTTTTTTTTCCCCATCCTGAATGACTCTGACTAGCGACTGAGTCACAAAAGACTGAGAACAGTAAGCAAGCCTCTAACAACTCAGTAACTTCAACTCTTCCTAGAAAGATGCAGCAGCTGAAGAGAATTTATTTTAAAAACAAGTATGTTCCTCAAGAGCTCTGCTCACAAAAGAAGTAATTTTTAGGGCAGGTGTTTTGAGGTCAGCAGTGCAGCCTGTATGTACCCAGTATAAACCAGTCCACCTTCAAGTTTCCTTTCACCTGGGTGTAAAATCTATTGTGCTCAGCTTTGCTCCCCGCTTAGCAAGGGCTTCCCTTAAAACATTTACACTCACTACCAAAAGCCATTAGAACAACAGTGCTCTGCCAGCTCTGGGGCTGGATTCAGACATCCGCCATCTTATTACAGGGTAGCAAAGTACTCCAGAAAAGACTTTTCATGGTGCACCAGCTCCTATTTATCTGGACAAGATAATCCAGTGCTTGATTATCATAGAATCATAGAATCATT